GGATCCCCAGACATTTCCCATCGGAGCCGGGGTTGAAGAACGGGAAGAGATTCCCGGAGAGTTTCAAGGGGAGGGATCCCAGCAGCTGCTTCCCCTCGGCGTCGAAGAAGGAGAGGGTGTGGGATTCCCGGGATTCCTGGYTCAGGAAAACCCCGAGCACGCGGCAGCGCCCGGAATTCCGCTCCAGCTTCCCGCCGGGGAGGCGGAATTCCCCCTGGGAATACTCCAGACTCGGCACCCRCTCCTCCGGGAATCTCATCCCGTTATTCTGCAGCCAATCCCGGATTTCCTGGCTGATCACGCCCAGCTCCCAGTGGGATCCGTCTCCCACCTCCACCTCCCAGTAGTGCTTCCCTTGGGAAAAGCCTTCCCGGGCCACGGCCACGGCCTTGGGATGGGGCTCGGGGCTGGGATGGGCGTGGAGGATCCGGGAATTGCCCTGGATCGCCAGGTCCGGATGTTTGCAGAGCTCATCCAGGGTCAGCGGCACTTGGGAAGGAGGGAAACGCGAGGGTTGGTATAATTGGATACCGCTGGATATCGTTTGATATCATTTGATATTGTTGAATATCGCAGGATATCTTTGGATATCATTTGATATCATTTGATATCATTTGATATCATTTGATATTGTTGAATATCACAGGTTATCGTTGGATATCATTTGATATCACTGGGTATATTTTGACATCGTTTGAAATAGAATAATGAAATAGGTGGGATTTTGGCATGACTTAGAATGCTCAAAATCAAAACGAATATGCAAAAAAATACAGAGCACAAAGTTCTAATTTTTGGGAAAATATGGGGCGGAGTTAGAGGAGGAAGAGGATGAGGAGGAAGAGAAGGAGGAGCAATTCCGCACCCAGAGGAAGGCCTAGACTCACCTGCATGGCTCTGAGCCCGTCTGAAATCTGCACAGAAAACGAGCACCAATTAATGAGCACGCTCATTAATTTACGGGGCAGCTCATTTGCATAAAGCCAGTGGAGCTGGGCRGGKCCACTTACCCAGCTGGGCCTGGATCTGCTCTGGAAAGAGAGAAATCCCAGGAATTCCATCAGCATCTGGCCCAGACACAGGATCTCTGGGTCACCTGGGCAAGGAGGTGACACCTGTGTCACCTGTGTCACCTAAGCCAGGTGTGTGTCACCTGTGCCACCTAGGCCAGGTGTGTGACACCTGTGCCACCTGTGTCAGGTGTTCCCGAGTCACCTGCGTCACCTGGGCCAGGTATGCCCATGTCATCTGTGACATCTGTGCCACTTTTGTCACCTGGGCCAGTGTGCCCGTGTCACTTGTGCCACCTCTGTCCGGTGTTCCCGAGTCACCTGTGTCACCTGTGCCACCTGTGTCACTTGTCCTTGTGTCACCTCACCCAGGTGTCCCCATGTCACCTTTGTCACCTGTCCCACCTGTCCCACCCCAAAAGCAGCCCCCGTTCAGCTCCAAATGTTTTTCCTGAGCCCAAATCACAGAAATTCCACCAATTCCCGAGATTCCCTAAATTCCCRGAATTTCCTCACCGATATCCTTCACCATCCTCTGGTTTTCTGTGAGGGAAGAAAAGGAAATTGGAATTTGGGAATGAGAAATGGGAATAATGGTGGGAATTTCTTGCACATATTTTTGATCTGGAGATAATTATCAATATCAGAGATAATAGGAGAGCTAATGAGTTAATTATTTATTACATTTATTATAATTATTCATTTATATGTAATTTATATAAATAATATTAATATTGTTACTGAAAATTCTAATATTAATAGAATAGTTGCTATTAATAGAACGAATGTTTACTATTTAAAGAATTAATATTTACTATTAAAATCAATAATATTTTCTATTAATATAATTATTATTAGAGTAGGATATTTATAGTGGTTTATGTAGAATATTTAATTGCATAATCAATAATAAATTTAATTGTATGGAATTTATTTTATAGATGTATAAAATAAATAATTGCTTATAAATATTGTACCAGATTATTACCTATAATGATTATAAGTAATTAGGTGTTAAATATCTGTAAGTTAGAGATAAAATAGAGATAATATGTTTAAACTTTGTAGAATAAGAGACATTTAAAGATCTGATATTAATTATTATTAAATAATTATTATTAAATAATTATTATGATTTTGACCTGCCATTAATAATACAGATCTCATAGCGATACAAAATATATTTAATTATTAATAATTATTATCCTTAATTGCTAGAAAATAATGGACTTGTAGATGCTGGAGCTTGTTCAAAGAGAATGAAATAATAATAATTTTAATTAATAATTAATTATTAATTACATGTTAATTACTAATAATTATTTTAAAAATTGTAATTAATAATTAAGACTTAATTTCAGTTACTTGTTAATGATTGTTTAATTTTAAATTATTGGAAATGACTGATTAATTAGTTAAGGTCTTCTATTTAGCAATTATTTATGAATTAATTAAGAATGAAACACAAATATTCCCAGAATTTCCAGGAAATCACACAAAATATTATTTTAATATTGGAAAAATTAATCCAGGATCAAGTTGCAGCAGCCTTCAAAGGAATTTAGAATTAATTCAAATTAACCCAATTTTTTTGATCCCTTTCCCACAAATAATCCTGGATTTATCCCCTTGATCCTGCGCAGAATTAATTAATTACAGAATTAATCCACAGAAATGTTGATTCCCAAGGGATTTTCCAGCTCCATCCCTCAGAATTCCATCAAAATCCCTGGATTTTATTCCAAAAATCAAAGATTTGGAGGAAAACTCAAGATCCTTTTACCCTTCTGGAATTTTTCCATCTCCTCCTCTGGAAAAGAAAGGAACAAAAATCAGGAATGGCTGAAAATTGGGGGAAAAGTCCCCAAATCTGGGGTCAATTTGGGGGTAAAAATGGAGGGAATTGAGTCTGGGATTAAGGGAAAGAATTTAATTTGTCTGGGACTAATAATTAGCCTGAGTCTAATAAGTAATTAGTCTAATAATTAGTCCAAGACTAATAAATAATTAGCCTAAATATAATAATATTTTGTTGAAGTCTAATAAATAATTAAAATTATTATAATAATTAATCTCAGTCTAAAAAATAGTCCTAGTCTAGTAATAAATAATTGGTGCATGATAATAGGTACAAAAAGTCTAGTAAGTAATTAGTCCGAGTCTAATAATTAGTCAAACTTTAATAAATAACAGGTCTAATTTTCAGAAATAACTCATCTAAGAATAATTAACTGCTCAAATCAATAATCAAAAATTACTCCAGGACTAATCAATATTTWGTCCATGTCTTATAAATAATTAGCCTCAGTCTAATAAACAATTAGAGTCAGGTAATCAGGCTGAATCTGAGAAATAATTAGGCTGAGTCCAAGAAATAATTAATCCAAATCTAACAAATAATTAAAATAATAAATAATAATAAATCAAAAATAAATAAAAAAATAATTGGTCTCAGCCTAATAAAAAATTAGTCTGAGTGTACAAATTAGTCTAATAGATGATTAATAAGTACAAATAAGTCTAATAAATTTTTAATCCAACCCTAATTAAAAAATACTCTAAGTCTAATAAACAGTTGGGCTAAGTCTAATAATTAGTCTAAGAAATAATTAGAATGAGTCTAAGAGATAATTAGTCTAATAAATGATCTGTCTAAATCTAACAAATAGTAATTGGGGTAAGTCTAATAAATAATTAATTGGTCTAATAAAACATTGGTCTGGGTTTAATAATTGACCTAATTCCAGTAAATAATTAATATAAGTCTCATAAATGATTAGAGGCTGATAAATAATTTGAATGGGTCTAAAAAATAATTAGTCTCATAAACAATTGCATAAGTCCAATAGCCTGGTTGCAATAATTATTCTAATAAACAATTAGTCTGAGTCTCATAAATAATTGGCCTAATAAACAATTAGAATAGGCTTAACAAATAAATAGTTTAAGAATAATAATTAGTCTCAGTCTACCACATAATTAGTCCAATAAATAGTCTAAATCTAATAATTTTACTAAGTAAAAAAATTACTGGTTGAAATCGAATAAATAATTAATCAAAGGCTCATAAATAAGTAATTAGAGTAAAATAATTATTTAGAGGCTATTAATTAATAATTTAATTGGATGCTAATAAATAATCTGGTTTTCATAAATAATAAATCCCGGTTCTTACCCAGCTCCCCCTTGAGATCCTCGATCTCTGCAACAAATTGGGATCAGAGGTCAAAAATTCCCATTTTTCCGCTTTTACTAACAGAACCCAAAACGATTCCCGAGCTCCTGGGGGGTGCTGTGGGATTTTCTGGGAATTTCGGGTGGATTTGAGTGGTTTTTATGGACAGAAAACCCCAGGAAAAATCAGTTTCTTCCACTCACCCTCCTGGATTTCCTGCTGGGCTTTTCCTGGGAATGGGGAAAGGAAAGGAAATGTAAATTACAGAGAATTTCTGGAGCACTGTAAAACCGATATCGGAGCCGGTTTTTTGTGCTCTTTTGAGAGTTGCAAGATTTCATTTCATTTTACTTTATGTTATTTTATTTTTATGAGTATTTATTTTATTTTCTTTGGTTTAAATTTTTAAAATATAATTATGATTTATTTTATTTATTTTATTTTATTTTATTTTGTTATTTTTATTTTATTGAATCTATTTTTCCTTTTCTTATTTATATTGTATTTAATACTTTGATATTTATTTATTTGATTATTGTATCTATTTTATTAGGTTTTTAGTTTTTTATTTCTATTTGTTTTAATGTTATGATTTTTAATTTATTATTTATGTTTCTGTTTTAAATTTTTTTTAACTTCTTTTTTTTATTTCCCCATTCTATTTCTGATTTTATTTCTAGAACAGATTGATTTTCCCATCATTTAGAGCCAAAAAATCCTGATTTTTTTTGGGAATCTCCCCCCCAAAACATCCCAAAACCTGGAATTATTTCCCCGTGGTTGGTCCCACTGGCCAAAATTCCGACTTTTTGAGAAATTTCACTCACGTTCCCGAGCTATGATCTGGCTGTTCCCTGTGGAGAGGCAGAAAACACGGAGA